GTCCAGGTTCCAGTTTACATCCTGGGTCGCTTAACCCTTACAATTTATTTTGTAATTTTACAACTGGTTTGTGAGAATGAATGGAGGTTCAATACAAGTCAATGTGAATTCACACTCACAAATACACATCAGTCAATGCCATTAAAATGCAAGTGATCCTGGGCTGAAAAAAATTATATCATCATGAAGTCAACTTACACTAATCTAAAAAAATGCTAATATTATTCTTCTCCTCCTCTCCTCACAGCCTGACAGATACAGCTAAATTGTTGGATGTTTTCAGACTGTCTATAGAAGCCTGGCGTGGGAAGCCATTTTTCTCAAAATAATTGAAGAAGTCTGTTCGTCTTTCAAATTACATTTAATGAAATGTAGTCAGTTTAGCCACAAAGACAGGCCAAAAAGCAGTCACCGTGTTTATACACGACGTTCCAAATAGGCTGATTCAAGGAGTTTATTTTTAGATCTTTACTGATATTGTACACCAACATTAAATATCTACCCTCACCAGTCAAAAATGCTTAGAAATATACATGCATTTGCTTCTAAAAAGTACAGACTAAATGGCACTTCTTACATGAACACTGTAATGTCTGATGATGCTCAAGTATATACAGTCATATTCAATACTCCTGCTCTAAGAGGGTTTTTCTGTTTTAACTGGAGAAACCTGGATACATCCTTTTTCCATTTCAATAGGATATACAGGTACTCTAAACTTTTAGTTAACACATGATACAACACAGACTACACTATTACAGATTCATTTCTGTTATCTAAAATTACAATTGATATGGTCAGTTTGTTACTAATGTTTACCATGTCTTCATTACATTCTTTTCAGAGAAGCAGTTATGAAACTGAACACAGCTTAACTCCCTTGAAAACATCAGACGACACCTGAAAGGGATCTTATTTCATAGCCAAACACAATATTCTACTGTGTACATGAAGAAAAATGGGGAAAAAACATATACAGGTACCTCTACAAAGACAGGTTTTTTCTCCACTGAATATTTTAACTCGCTTAAAGAGTTATTTTTCCTAGACTTGTCATTTCAAGAAAGCCTTTGCTTCAAGGCCTTCAAAAACGTCCCCATTCTGTGGGACAAAAAGTGAAAGGAGACAGATATACTATTAAGAACAACTCAGGACTGTGCTCTCTCTGCAGAGAGACTTCAGTCACATCTTAGGTAGGAGGTAGCTGGGCTACTAGAAGGTCTCAAATTCTTTTAGGCCCCACTTGAGCCCCGGGCTGTGTGGCCTAGCATATAATTGCACCACTAAAGATAGTTAACAGCCCTCCCCGGTCTTCCTGACTGTTTATTCTAGTCTGATTTTCAGCTCCTCTGGGTCATCATTCATCAGTGTAGAAAGCCCCTTGGGAGGAGACCAGGAGACCCCTTTCACATCCCCTGTAACCAGGGGGCATTTGTGATGGCCCACATTACGGAAAATGAGAGCACCACAGCACAGCAGGGGTGGCAGTGATTATAATATCCAGATAATCATTTCAAACAAATTATCATAATTATCAATCAATCATCACATTTAAACAACATGCCCCGGAGGATCGAATTGCTTTTGTGACCTGTAATGCTTTCTGTCTTATAATAACCTTCATAAATTTTAGGCTTAACATATTTCTGTGGCCTGCTAAACCCAAGCCACCCCCACCTTCCCGACCCAAGCAAAACCTTCATAATTTGATCATGTGGACTTTACAATAAGCAACGCAAAGGCCTGCTTGTCCAGACTGCTGTTCACTGCCCTTTACACAATACATTGTCTTTAAGTAAATAAAATACATCAAAGACAGCAAGAAATTCCTTGAATGACGAGACAAACATGTAAAGAAAAATCAGTCTCCTTATTTTCTAGCATAAATGTAACACACAAAGACACAGTTAGTATTGCCAAATCTTAGACATAATATTCATTCTTACATCCATTTTTGAAAAAAAAAACTTATAGTGAGGATTCTCGCAAACTGGAGTCTATCCCACCAACACAGAAAGACTGACAGGGCTAAAACATTGGATGGGATGCCAGTCTATCACAGGGCACACACGCAGGCACACAGGGGTGATTTACAGATACCAGTTCATCTATAACAATGGGAGAAACAAGAACACCTAGAGAAAATACATGTGGACACAGGGAAAACATGCAAACTCCACCCAGAATGTGGTGCAGAACAGAATCAATCTCTGGGCCAAAGAGCTGTGAAGCACTGGCACTAACCAGCACTGATGACCTTTTCCTAATGCCACAGAAGGAAAATTCTATAACACTTCATCTATTCTATAACAATTCATCAAGGATCGATTTGCTGTAATTCCTTTTTTACACAGCGTGTTGACCAAAGCTACAGCTAAGTTTTTTTTCTGTTGTCACGGCTTGGTGGCATGTTGCGTCAAGACACCCTACAGCGGATTACCCCAAACTCCTCAAGTGGGGGATAAAGCATTGCTACCGTCCTTGAATCAGGCTTGAATAGCCATGAGATAAGTAGACTGGGGATAAAACAGACACTTATTCCTGTACACTGTGACAAGGGCTGATCCAATCTGGAGCAGCAGTGATAGTTGATGTTATCTTTATCTCTCAGCAGTAGTGTTTTTGTTGAAGGATAACAGCAAGCTCCCTTGAAAGTCAAAGAATAAATATAGAACACTTCTTTTCTTTTTTTTTTACCAAACGTCTATCCTAGTGGATTTTGATAAGAAGGCTATTGAGCTATAATAATATCTTCTATCCATTTTTCAGTTGGCCCTTAACACGTCTCTTTATTTTTCCCTAAAGCCTCTTCAGCAATGTCTTTTTATTATACATCGCTCAGCCATCTCTCCTGAGACCAGGGAAAGGGGAGGGAGAGGGTTGGGGAAAGTGATAGATAGATAACGTTATAGATTATCTCACACAGATGTTTTCTCTCCAGTAGCCCCTAGCCATTCCCTCTGAGTAAACAGAGACTAAATGGAGATCCATGCACTGAGAGGAGTCCCTCAGGTCCCTTGTCACTGTGCCTAGACAAAATCAACTCCCCCCCACCCCCTCCTTCCTCGCCAAACTGGAGAGACTAGGCATCCCCTCTTCCCTCACTCCATCCAGCGCGGCTTTATGAATCTTCATGAAACTTTTCTCTTTACCAGAGAGCTCCAAAACATTAGGTAGGGGAGTTTACTTTTATATCAATGGTGGCCAAAAAAGCACAGCTGCCAGCAGTGCAGCTTCAGGCTTATACAGTAGTAAACTGCTGCTCTAAGAGAACATATAAAATCTGTGTACAGTAGATAAGCTTACTGCACCAGCACGGCCTTTCAGACAACCACCCCAGCAGGAGCTGTCTATTTAAAGAAGGCGACAAAGGAGGACATACTGTACAGTATAAATGTACCACAGAATGAAAGCCAGAAAGCCAGAAAGCCTAGATGTATATTTCACTACTTCAATGAAAAAGTCTAATGCCTTTCTTTTCATTTATTTGCTGTCTTTAAAGGTAGAGTTAGAATCAAATGCAGGGAGCAGTGGGTCACCCACACAACCAGAATCAAAATTAAACATCACATGGAGTAAATGTCCAGTTGAAAGCCCCAGAGAGGCCTCAGTTTATTCGAACTATTTTCGATGTGTGTATTTCCATGTATGTAGAGTATGTTTCTTAAAGGAGATGCAGATTTTCTATAACCAGTTGACACATTCACACACCATTATAAACATCTGCAATCTGAAACACAAGCCATTACAATGCATTTTGCTCACTAAACCACCATTATTGTCACTGTTCTCAATACTGCTAAGACTCCAGACAATCACTGAGGCAGCCACAATGCGGACTTGTGACAGTTCTACAAAAGGAGCTCATGAAGGATGTTTCTAATACTGGAGTACCTTTTGTTCCAGTGCTTTCTAAAGACAACTCTCTCAAGGCACAATGAGAAAATTACAAGGAATTAATGCACAAGAAAAGTCCCAAAGAAACTTTTGAAAATATATAATTTTGGGCGTTTTCCTCAGAAGGCAAATCCAGTACTTCCGAAAGTGCCCACCACTGCTCCTCAGAACAGGTGTCCCTGCCTTTGTTCTTTCATGGACCATTAAGTTTAATCTTGAACTCTTTACCTTTTTTCCTCGACCTCTTAACACTGGCCATAAAACTGAACTGCCCACCCCTCAATAAATTTATCACCTCATAAACGTACCACTGGAGCTTCTATGGGATATGCTTAATAGAGGAGGAGTTGGAGATTCCTGACGTACAGTGTTAGGATAACAGGATTCTGAACATCTCTTGTTTAGAAACTGCTCTGTCGAGAGTCGTGTTATCTGGTTCTCTGAACTGTATCAACAAGCCATTTCTACTTGTGCTGCTTTCTATTTTGCCTTAAAATGTTTTTCTTCTGAGGCTGTTATAGTATGTTGAAAATGTATTGCATATTTTGTTTGTCCACATTCTGCATCTAATAGGACCATCCATAACTGGGAACGTGCATTAGCCCAGTTCGATAAAACTCGGGAAAAAAATAAAGCATTTGCTCAAGTGTGTGCATCTTAACTTATATATTTCTAATATAAGAAAAAATACATGGCCATGGAAAAAATACCAAAGGTGCTGGGCTAACAGAGACAGGTGCTCTCTGTGATGCAAAATGAAATACTCATTTCATTATTATAACATTACTTAATAGTAACCTAAAGCATGAGGTATTTGGAAGTCTCAGCAGTGCAAATAAGTACACACATAAACATGAACATGAACATAAACATTTTTCACGAGAAATACCAGCGGTGTTTTGTGGGAGCTCAGACAGAAATGTCTGCAGCCTGTGCAGTGAGGGGAGGATAGCCCTAACAGGAGTCCTGTATGACTTCACCTCCACGTGTTTGTTATTTCAGATCTGCTTGTTCGGAATGGGGGGATTCAGAGAGCGTGTGATCAGCTCTGTAGTTCTATTTTGAGAAAGAATAACACATATACCAAGATACAAAATTCCTACCTTTTTGATGCAGCCATCTTGTGATGTTACTTCATGGTCATTAAGCATTTGCTGAAAAAACAAAACAAAAATTGTTAGACATTAACCCAGTGAAACATAGAATTTTTAGAATGTAAAGACTTTAAAAAGCAGGCAAATGTCTAAATATTGGAGCGTGATGAAGATTTGGTGTCTTGAAGAAAATCTGCAGTGACCATGTCATAAACTGATACTAATCTATGACTCTAAGGAAGCAATATCTCAGAATTCAGAATGACCTCAAGTTCCCGTATAGTACCATAGATGCATTTGGGTTTAAGTTTCTCTTTTTGCAAAAAGTGAAAAGCTCTGCAAAGAGCTGCTGACAATTTGCTGTTCAGTATGGCAGGAAATTAGCCCGAGACTCTTGATTCTAAGCCCTTGAAGACGTGTAATTAAGCCTTTATCAATATTTATCCTGTAGTCTGTGAATAATTTGTTCACTGTCTGTTTTGCCTCAAAAGAACTTTCTGATGAAGAAGGGAGAGCTTGTTTCTGGTGTAATAATGGTACCCCACACTACTTGAATTCAGTGCAACTCTTTCACTGGCTCAATAATTGAAAAAAACAAGCAGTATTTGAAATTTATCTGGGATTATCAGTCCATATTCCAAAGTTTACCCAGAACTTGACAGAAGTTCCTTTCATCTCCTGAACACACTCCATGTTGTTTAAATGCAAATGTCATGGAACTTCTCACAGTCAGGACCTCTTAAAAGTCAGAATCTCCTGTATGCATTAAGACCTTAGGACATTCTTCATTACCATAAAACTAAACTGTGTATTTCATTTGCATTTTTATAACATATTTTGAAAATACAAAAATGTGCACTTTTGGTACTATAAAATGTAGTCCCTCTCTCCTTTTTCCTTGTTGGTCATGTGAATTTGTTTCTCCATATTTACGCTGCTTTTTACTGCACATTCATCACATTGTATGACATTACACACCATACATAACAAAACAAACTTGAAGAAAGCTGCATGCACTGAGTCTCTGAAACTTTGCTCTTTTTTGTGTGAAAGAGCTTCCTTTTACAATGTACCTGGGCTCCCTCTGTGTGTGGTCGATTTCTTCTTCAACATGTACTGAAGAGATTATTCTTCTCCGAATGTTTTTGTTTATCACGGAACCAAGATACCAGGTAAACAAAGCAGGGAAAAGAAGAGGTACATCTTGGAAAGCATATGATGGAATATCCCAGCTCATCACTTACCCTCTCACTGGTGTGCATTGTTTGAGTTTGGAAGGTGCCGTATTTGGATTTCTGGAAGTCAATGACATAATTACCAGGTTCTTTAACAGGCATGGTTTTGAAATGTTCCAAAAGTGCTCTCTATGTAGCATCAGTAAGTGTTTCATTGCCTGCTGTTACCAGAATGAGCTAGATGTGTGAACAGAAAAACCATGCTGTTAAATAAGTTTTCAGTTTTTGAAAAGCAAAGTATCGCATGTGACACGAACATATTTCGGATATGAGAAAATATTTCCATCTGCTTTGACTATTATCCCACAGTGTCATGTTTTAAAGTACTGTTTTTATTTCTTTACAATGCTTAGGATTTCTTTTCTTCATTTCTGAGAGTACAGAGGCCTGATGGGGCTTCTCATGAGCGGTGCTGCAGATTTGAAATCCAACAGTGAAAGGGTGCTGGTAGGCAGTTGAGTATGACATTGTAAGTTTTCAGTGTTGTACAGGATGAATGTGAAGTGTAGTCTATCTATAGCGTCAAAAACACAATTTAGCATTGATAGATGACTATGAATGGCTTGCTTTATAACTAGCTAGTCCATGACTCCTGCTCAGCCTCCTCTAGTCCAGTTTGCATTGACTGTTATCTGGCCAGCACCACAGTTCCTACAAAGGATATATGAAATATACTGCCAAGTCAAGAAATTCAGGTAGACTGGAAGGCGACAATTACAAGCAAACATATACCAGTTAGACGAATTATCACAGGATGCTCATAAAGATGTCATGAAATCCTTATGCTTAATTTAGGGCATTATTCATATCATACCAAGATGAACAATTTTTAATCTAAGACATCAGACTAAAGGCGTATTTTACTTCATACAATGTTAAACATACACGAGGAATAATCTGGATATAGCAGCTTGATTTTTTTTTTGCTGGCCTTCTTTGACAGATGTAGTAAGTAAGAGGTCTGTCTTAAGTGTGTTTATAAACACGTCTTATACCTTCATCCCACTTAAACACATCTGTCAGTTATACAAGACACCAAAGTTCCTCCTTACAGATACACTAGCTGGATATAGCCTAGGACTAACTGAAGAGAATCTCACTGAACCTGCACAATAATTAAAAAAGCCTTTATGTTAAGCAGTTAATTTAATCTCACCTAACACTCCTGTCACTGCCATTATGAGTGTGTTATGACAAGATAAAAAATGACGTTATGTTAGGCTAGCCCTGCATAGCACCTTATCAAAAGGTTTATAAAGCAATCACCTTACTCTCTGGACTAAACTAAGTAAGTTCCAAACTTGCAAGTTTTACAAGCAAGTGCTCTACCAAAGAGAATGGGGGCGCACTTTTCCTGATGGACTGCTGGAATTGTTCTTGTACAATAACCCGTAACGCCACACAATGCATGGGAGACAAGCAAAATGAGATTACTCCAATCGTGTGGGGCCCAGGCTTTTGGGCTTGGGAAGACAGTGGGAGATAAAACCTAAACATACAGCAGCTGCAACAGTTTATACTTGAGCAGCTTAATGTGGACAAGAAAATGCTACCATACCCATGCACAGATAGGGGGATGACTTTACTTTCATGCAATCAGGCAAATGTAGGCGTAAATGTGTACTGAACTGGAAAGCGGTAACATAATACTATATTAAGCACTTGAACAGAAGAATGATGTATATTTGAACTGCTGATTTTACTTTCTCAGTGCTTAATACTACATAAGAATTAACGTTTTAATTAAAATAAACGTTTTTTTCACTTTTTTTTCCAGACTCCTTTGGATAAAATGGTTTTGGTCATATCAAAAGATAGGAAAAAGGAGTCAAAGCTAAATTGCTTTGGCTTTTAAAACTTTAATTCTGTGCTGCTTATTCAGTGGTAGTGCACTTCTTCTTTTTGTTTTGTTTCTTGAAATCATTAAGTAGAAGAACACATACATTGAAAACAGTTTGCAAAGGTAAATTGAAACTTCTGTACACCCATAAAATGTGTTGCAAAACCTTTTTAACATGTATAAATCTTGCTTATGTGAGGCTGTCAATACCTCTTATGTAAATGAGAAATGCTATAAAACCATTGCAATTATTCTGTCATTCTGTGAGTTTTGAAAATATTGCTGAAGACAGTAACACCCTTATTGCACCCAACTTAAAAAAGCAAATAAAAACTCTGGTCTGACGAACATTCACACACCTGCACATGATGCAACTGAACTGTCTGAACTTCATTAAAACCTACAGTGTGTGAGTGTGTGGTTTTAAAGCTGTAAAACTCCTTGTTATTTATGTAAAAGCACAGCTTTGTCAAGTGACTCCATAAGACGTTTCTCAAAGGCACTGCTCTGGTATCCATACTGACGCACTTGAATCGCCGACACAAACTAGAAAACAACTCAAGTCATGCTGTTAATGCACCAGCACTGTTTTTCCAGACCGGTTACAGAGGCGCTGCAACACAGAGCAGAATACCACTGCAGCTTGCAGGAAGACTACAGTCCCTTTTACCAAACTGCTTTTTTGTTCCTTCTTCACTCATATGCATGTGGTAGTTCTCATTCAAGGGGAAAAAAGCCTCAAAAGCATCTCAGCTCTTACCCCGAAATGATGCTGCAATCAAATTAGAGTTGTCTAATTACAATTAAAATGCAATTATAGACAACTTAGAGCTACAAAATAACTCATATCACAGCTGGTCTGAGGGGGTACAAAGCAAAACAAATGAATTTGCAGGGTTTGCCTTAGGAAAACTCGGGAGAAAGTTGCCAAAAACAATTCTCCTCAAGTCTGGATAATATGAGGCAATCCAGCAACATAGCCAATGGATGGTTATGGATGTAATAAGCCACAAGTTTCCAAAAAGAAACACCAGAAAACAAACCTCAAGGCCTTTTGAACTGACTGAATGACATCCCATTGGCTGTAAGAACCACACTAGAAACCCACAAATTTGAAAGTTTTGCTATGCAGTTATTGAGAAATCTATGCTGTTTAGCGCCAACATGGTAATCATATGGGTAATGTTACAGGCCATATTGATCTTTTAACACATACGCTATGAGCCTGCTGTTCTTAATAATGTGAGAGTGGGAAAAATAAACACATCCAATCTGTCAGCCAAGATGGAGGACATAAAAGTCAGATTCTTTTGTCTCTTGAGGCACAAGTGCCGAGACCCTTGTCCATTTTTCCTGCTGTTTAACTTCTAAACCACCTTTGTTTTTGTTTTCCTTCATTTTTTGTTTCTCTTTGTCAAAGCCATTCATTTTCCGAAAGAGCATAAACGAGCTATTCTGGGATTTGGAAAGATATCGGAGTGAACCAGCAGAAACAAGCACACAGCTATCACTATTTAAAACATATTTCCACAATGAGCTGCTGATAAACATTTCTACAGCAAATACCAGGAAGCTAAACGACAATCTGATAGAATATATTTATGATGACTTTAATAAGCTAAGGACTTGAAACTTTCGGCCAAAGCAAACATCAAGAACGTACTGATAGCAAATGTCACATTTGTCTTGCCAAACACTGCGAGACTATTGATAGGAGGGTTATTAAACATAATCGCTCCCAGCTTAGCATTGTTTGATTCCTTATTCTGTTCTTATCAACAAATTCAAGCCTGTTGTCAATGAATGTGAGAAAAACATACTGTGCAGCTAAATGTGTTGCTAAAGAATGCCCAAGTTCCTTTTCTTCAAATACAAAGGTGAAAGAGGAGACTGTAGCCTCCTTTTGAGTCTTTACTTACTTATCACATAGCAAAGCTAACAGTTGCTCTATTGGAACTGGGAAGGGTGTGATCCTGGAATTCAGA